TTCCTGGTGCCTTATAATGCTCATTTGCGGGGGGGTGGGGGGGTTGTGGAGGGGCAGGGCAGAGGACATGTGGGACTCAGTCCCAGGCTCCAGGAGTCCTGGGAAAGGCTTGTGAGAGCAGGGGGACCTGGGCGTGCGCTCCTGTTCACAGAAAGCCCACCTGCTATACCTCAGTCACTGCAGTGATGTGCCCTCTCGGCACCCGCCCCCCAGTCTGCTCTCCTATGGGTGTCAAGGCAAAGGCTGTTACCCCATTTTACAGATTCAGAAACCAAGCCTCAGGGAAGAACCCTAGAGGCCCCAGCCACAGAGCAAAGGTGGGGACAGATGTGATGGATCTGACCAGCAGAGGCCCTACTCTTGGGGTAAGATCTGGCCTTCTACCCCCTCTGGAAGGCTGCGAATGTGGGAATACATTTGTATGCTCCTTCTAGAGTGGAATGAAGTAAAGCTGAGAGCCTTCTCCCCCAACTGCCCCTCCCACTCTACAACCCCACAGGACCTAAGTCACCAGACTACAACAGCACCCCACTGCACACTGTTCCCTAAGCCCTGGGCTCAGCTTGGCTCAGAGAGCCCTCAGCAGCTGCATCCTATTCCACATACCTCCCCAGGGAGCCACGGGCACAGAGGCTATGCCAGACAATTCCCAGCAATTAGGAGGCTCCTGGTCAGTCAATATTCCCAGCAAGGCCCTAATGCATCTCCCCCCTCCTAACAGACCAGAGGCTGTAATCCTTGTGCTGAGGTTAGCATTTGGTCGGGTGGGGCAGGGGAGCAGGGGTAGGTCGAGGCCCTGAGTGCCGCCGAGGTGGAAGCTGTGGGTAGGCCCGAAGCCCAGACCGACCGCCCCTCTGGAGCAGCCCCTGGGCACTTAGGCCTCAGCTCAGTGCTGCCTCCAGGAAGCATGCCCCGTCGCTCCCCCTCCCCCTGCCACCATGCACAATGTTAAGTGCCCACAGGTCCCCCTTACTCTCTCCAAAATACCAGCTCCTGAGCCATTATAGCCGGCCCAGGGGTTGAGGTCAGCAAACTGCCCCTGTAAAAGGGCTGGGCAGTATGTATTCTAGTCTTTGTTGGCCATTCAGGCTCTCTTACAATCACCCACCTCTGCAGTTATAGTTACGGAAGCCATAGACAATACATAAGCAAATGATTGAGGCTGCATCCAATAAAACTTTATTTATGGACACGGAAATCTGAGTCTCGTATAATTTTCATGTGTCACAAAATATTCTTGTTTTCATTTGTTCCCCCAAACTGTGAAAATATAGAAAAACCATTCTTAGCTTGTGGGTTATATAAAAATAGGTGGCTGGTTGGATTGAGTTACATGAGTTACAATTTGCCAACCCTGGGCCTAGAGCAAGGCCCCTTGGAGCCAGACTGACTGGCTCTGCTGTGTGACCTTTGGCAAATGGCTAAACCTTTCTGTGCTTCAGATTTCTCATCTGTAGAATGGGGGTGATAATGATAATACGTGGGGAATGTCAAATGCTGCGGCTGCTTTGTTGTTCTTGCAAAGCAGCTTTTGGCCATTTTCAAAGGTTAAACACGGAGGGGCGCCTGGGTGGCTCAGTCGGTTAAGCATCCAACTCTTGATTTCAGCTCAGGTCATGATCTCTCATGGTTCATGAGATTGAGCCCTGCATCAGGCTCCACACTGAGTATGGAGCCTGCTTGGGGTTCTCTCCCCGCCCCCTCTCTCTGCCCCTCCCCTGCTTGCACACTCTGTCTCCCAAAAATAAATAAACGTTGAAAAAAATTTTTTAAGAATAAAGGGTGAAATTTTTGGCTTGTGAGTTTGATCTCATAGGGCTGCTATAAGAGTTAATGCAGAATAAATGACTGACTTTGCCTCTCACGGGTCCTACGGGGGCCCTGAGGGCATCGGTGTGCCTTTCCTGTTCACATTGTCTCCAGGACCTAGGATAGGACCCGACACATAACATGTGGCTTCGAGTTTCTAGAGTCCCACAGATGGGGGGTTGCATCCTGACTCCTTGGGTAAATTATTTGGCTGCTCTGGGCCCCAGGACCCTCGTAGGTCAACGGAATGATAATGACAGTGGTGATAAGGATCAGATGATGTTTGACATCGGGGCGTGTGAGGGGCCCAGGCCGGCGGCCACTTGACCACATTTGGCCCTTGCTGGCCCCAAGAGGCCGAACCCCCCCCCCCCCCCCCCCCCCCCCCCGCCACAGGTGTCTCCTGGGCGCCAGGCAGGGTCGGGCAGTTGCCCTGATGGCAGCAACTCGACCCACAGGCCACCATTCATTGTTCCACCCACCACGGGCAGAACTCCCTGAGCGGGCAGCCCCCTGAGCCCAAAGGAGCAAACACTTTGGGGGCACCAGAGCAGTTTCCCAGCTTGACCGCAGCCAGGTATCAGACTGCACGCCAGGCGCCGTCCCGTCCTTTCTCCGAGCCTCAGCTTGTCCAGTTATCAAATGGGTTTGGGACGTAGGCCCTGCCACCTGAGGGGCAAAGTGTTCACCCAGTGCCTGCTGTATTTCAAATAAAATACATTGGGGGACACGATTGAGAAAATAAAGCTGAGAACGGCTGAGGGAGGATGGGAAGGGGTTGCAGTTTGACAGGAGGTGGCCTGGGAAAGTCTGGTTGAGAAGAGAACATTTGAGCAAAGACCTGAGGAGAGGAGGGGAGGAGGGAGCCCCGTGGAGCTCTAAGGGAAAAGCAATCCCGGCACAGGAAGCAGCAGCAGGGACAGAGCAGGTGTGGCTGGGGGGGATCGGGTCGGGGGTGAGGGGCAGGAGACTGCCGGGGAGCCGGCAAGGGTGTGGGCCTTACCGCGGGGCCCTGTGCGGGACTGGCACCTTCTGCTGGGGCTGGGGCTGGCTGCCTGCACCTCCCCTGCCTCACGCCCCTGTGCTTCCTCCTGCAGGACCGGCCAGGGGCCTCATGGGTGCCTGAGGGCCGGGCGCCAGGGCCGCACGCAAGAGCATGGTGAGACACCAGCCCCTGCAGTACTATGAGCCACAGCTGTGCCTCTCCTGCCTCACGGGCATCTACGGCTGCCGCTGGAAGCGCTACCAGAGATCCCACGATGACACCACACCGGTGAGCCAGGCTGGGATGGGGTCAGAGGACTAGGGAGCCCCAGGGCCTGGGGGAAGCGTCTCAGCTCCATCACTCTGCTGTGTGGCTCTGGACAGGTCAATGCCCCTCTGGGTTTCAGTGTCTCCTTCTATAAAATGGGCCCGTGGTCACTCCTAAATCTACGTGACCAGGTGGGAAAGGAAGTAGGCCACCCTGTCACAGATGAGGCTGGTGAGCTCTCCTCTGACACACGGGACCTGGGCTGCTCCTGAGGTCTTGGCAGAGAGGGACGCTCCAGGAGGGACACTCCAAGAGGAAGGGCTCACCCCAAGGTAAACAGAAGTTTTCAGCTTCCTGGCAGATCCAGACAGGCCGGCAAGCAGGTGAGTGGTTGGAGGGAAGGGTGAGGAGGTGGTGCCAGGCCCTCCTGGAGCTTGGGAGCTGGCAGGGCCATGGCCTGGCACCAGGACTCTGTCACCTGAGCCACAGGCCTGTCGGAGCTGGCAGCAGGTGCCCAGCCAGATAAAGAAAGCCTCCTTCAATGGCCGGCACCCCAGGCCAGACCCAGAGCCGAGCCACGCTTCCGTCCCTGGGTCTCTGTCAGCCCATGGATCTAGTTTCTTCTCTGAAGGAACCCAACTCCTTCAGGAGGGAAGAGAGGGAGGTCAAAGGAGTTTATCTAACAGGTTTGCTGCCCGGTAAACAGCTTTCCTCCTCTCTCCTGTTTGTCGGAACAAAGAAGCCAGCCTCCAAATTCAGCCAGCCTTGAAATAGGCCAAAGGTGTGGGTGGTCAGCTGAGGTCAGAGGCCAAGTATCACCAGGCTCTCTGGATGGGGAGGATGGGGAAGCCCGTCCACCATCCTGACCTCCTTCTCTGCCTGTGCTGGTGACCGACAGAGCACTAGCCTGAGTCAGGAGCCTGGGTTCATGACTCCCAAATGGTAAGAAGCAGGTGCCACATGGCCTGATGTATTGCCACTCCCAGCCCAGAGGAGGCCACATGCTAAGCTGAGGCAAGGAAGAGGGAGGGGCCTGCCCAAGGCCCCAGGGCAGGTCCCTGCAGTGCTGGGGTGGCAGCCTCAGTCTACCCTCGGCCCTGCCTGGGACAGCCTTTCCCTCTTACGTGTTTGTGGGATCTCCCCAACAGTGATGTGGGCCATGAGATCGGAAGTCAGGCAGGCTTAAGTCCAAAGAGCGCCTAGTTGTACCAAATTGCACAAAATTGTACCCGGTTGACTCTGGGCTTTCTCACCTGTGCAATAACATCCCCACTGAGGGAGCTGCCGGTGGCACTAATGGCACCAAGGGACGGGCACAGTGCTGGCTGTGACTAGTCGTTAAGCCATTCCCGACTCCAGGGCCTCGGCCTCTCCATCTGTGAAATGGAACAGGGGTTGGGTCAAGACTCGAGAATTCCTTTTCCACTGTGATCTGCTCTGAGCTGCGTTCTCCCCAGGGACTCGGGGCAGGCAGCAGGGCCTCCCCGTGTCGGGAAAGGCAGCAGCGTGGCAGGCAGCTGGCATCTGGGTGTCTGTGCCAGGAGCGGTGCTGACACACGGCTACTCGTTCCTCCCAACGAGCCCTCGAGCCAGACGTCGCGGCCACCATTTCACATGGGGAAGCAGAAGCCAGGGATGCCAGTGAGGGGCAGAGTTGGGAGCTGACCCCGGGCAGCGTAGGTCCAACAGCTCCGGGTGGGAAGACAGCGGAAGCTGAGGGAGGAGGATGGCTGGGCTCCCCAGCGGCAAGCCCCTTGGCTGTCAGAGTAGCCGCTGGAGGAAGGCGTGGCTCCCAGGACATCCCACACCCCTCAGTGCGCCCAGGGCAGGCCCATCCCAGGCTTCAGAGTCAGGAAGTGACCGGGCTTGGCTGTGACCAGCACGGGGCCCCGGGGTGGAGGAAGTGGTGAGCTGAGGCCAGTTCTGGACTGACTCAGAGCCCAAGTGGTGCCGGCTCCACAGATGCCAAGATCTGGGGTGCCAGGTATGGCACAAAGGCAGTAGGGGCTGCAGGGGCCACAGGCCAGCTTGGCCTGGAGAGGGTTTTGCCACAGCTCTGGGTGTCAGAGCCTCCGGGCCTCCACAGGAAGGGCTGAGCTCACCTCAGGCGACCCACGAACCACGGAGACTCCCCCTTCCCTGTCACTCACCTCATTCCACTTTCCCGCCCACTTCCCCGGGTTCCAGCCTCAGCCTGCTCACCCTTTTTCTCTCTTTCCCCCTTGTTCTTTCTCCCCAGTCCCTCCTTAGATGGCTGGGTGAGGACCGAGGGCGAGGCCTGTGATGTCCCCGGGGGGGCTGGGCCCTCTAGCCTGACACAGTGAGGGGAGTGGTGATGGCGTCAGAGCTGGTGGAGCAAACTCCCTAAGTTTTGCTGAATGAACAGGCCCTGGGGTGAGCTCTGGAAGCACAGGTTGGGGGGAAAGAGCACTGTCAGGGCCTCCAAAAGGCGTGGGGGCTCCAACTTTGGGCCTGTGCCTCTTCTCATCCCCAACTTCCCCTCAGACTTTGGGGGCCCCTCCCTCTGCCCAGGTACTGCCGCCCCTCAAGTCCCCTTGGGGGAGCCTCCCCCGGCCTTTCCCAACTCAGGCAAGCCCTGGCTCAAGTTCTTCTGTGAAGCCAGACCTCTCTGGTCCTCATCTGTGAAATGGGGTGACAGACTGGGGGTGAGTCGCAGAAGCATTTCACTCATGATCTTGCTCAGCCTGGGAAATAAAGCATGAGAGTAACAGTTAACATTTATTGGATACCTATTGTATGCTGGGATCCCAGAGCTTACCTGCATTGCCCTGTTGATTTGTTAGGTCGCCCCTGTGGGGCAGTTAACTGTCATGCCGATGGAGAACTCAAGGCTTAAAGCCACATCACACATCACACTGGAGAGAGTCCACGATAGATTTGCAACAGGAGCCTCAGGAAGATGAAGGGGGTTGGGGGCGGGGGGGCACGCATGGTTGGAGTAGGAGATTAAATGAAAACTTGCAAGAAGGGGAAGAAAGCAGGGCCTGGAGGATCACTTGGGAAGTTGCCTGGGGAGGAGGAAGAAGATCGTGAGACCAGGAGTGTGCGGGGCAAGAATGGGAGTGGCTTGAATGCCAGACCTGGAGCCTTCCGTGGCTCTGGGATCAAGAGCTGGCCCTGCAGTACAGGAGTGGATCCTGGGGAGCCGGGAGGAGCCCCCTCCTCTGGGTCCCAGCTGGCAGCCTCCTTCCTGCCCCACCAGCCTATCCTTCCTGTCCCCCCAGCCTGACGCATTCCCACCTCCTCCGATCCTTTGCTCGTACTGTCCCCCACCCCCAGGACACACACTGGACAAATAAGGAAGCAGGAAACTGAGGACCGGAGAGGTGAAATGACCTATTCTGCCCCCAGCCCCTAGGGAGTGGAGGAGCCTGGCAGCAGGAGGCCGGCTCACTCGACAGCTAGGAAGGGGAAGTGAAGCTTTTTATAACTGGGGATAATTAATTGGTTGTTGTCTGTGACTCATTACTCTAATGCCGCCAATTAAGGACTTGCTAGGACAGAAGACAGTTCTCAGGCTGTCCCCCAGGGCCCCCTGAAGACTGTGTGTCTGTGGGAGGCAGCATAGTGTCAAAACCAGCTTCTCTGTAGCAAGAGGCATATAGGTCAGACACCTGAAGGAACTTCCCAGCCCAAGACAGGCAGCGACTGTCACCTCTCTCGTGTTTCTATAGCACATTTGCCTTTTGAGGGCTGTTTTTTAAAAAGCTCGTTTGGCCCCTCTGTCTCACAGAGGAGGCTCCAGGAAGAATGAGTGGTTTATTCAAGCCACGGGGGTTGAAGGCACAGCCTGCATTGCCCCCTGCTTGCATCCCCAGTCCAGACTGTTCCACACCCACAGTCTTGTCTGGGATGCACTAATTACTTATTTAATCAACACACCCGTCCGTCCCGATACTTGCTCTGGGCCCTGGGGTCAGGGAGGGGTATCTGACCCGGCTCCCCCCCTCCCTTGAAGGGCTCCCAGGCTGGTGGGGGAGCATACAAGATCCAACATACCCAGGCCACCCAGGATGATCCCTGCTGAGGCCCAGGAAAACCCCAGGCAGGAGAGCTGGCCTGACCTGATGTCTGGGAGTTAGTCCTGTCTCGCCGGCTGGGGAAGTGTTCAAGGCACGGGGAGCCATGCGGACCAGAGCTTCCTTGTGTACTGGAGTTTCTTGTGTTTGGGAACCGAAAGCAATCTGGCCTCAGTGTGGCTCCGCGTGAGGAGGGAAGGTGGTGGCCACATGGCCTGGGCCTGAGGCTGTGCCAGGGAGCCTGTTCCCCCTCCTGGGTGGAGGCAGCCCAGTCAGACTCAGGCTGTGCGAGGACCAGTTTGGTTAAATTGTGGAGGATGCGCCGAGGGGCCTGGGGTGGAGGTGGGGAGAGCAGGGAACTAGAGAGAGAGAGAGGTGGAGGCCGCTTTGCATACCCCAGGGAGGGGTATGCCGGTTCCGTGCAAAGGGAGGGATTCTAGAGACACTTGGAAGGTATAATCAACAGACTGGCTGTGGAAGAGATTGAGGGAGTCCTTTATGATGCCTCCCACCATCCCCTGATTTCTAGCCTAGCCGGATGAGGCCATTCCAGGGATGGAAATGGTGCTGTGTCCAGGGGCAAGTGGGAGGGGAGAGTGGTCTCTGTAGAGTCCAGGAAGAGCACAGTGCAGGTGGGACACAGACAGCTAAGTCTCTCTTCCCCCAAGACCTACTTCCTACGACAGGAGCCCCTGCAGCCATACAAGAAGACCCCCACTGGGGGATGTTCATCAGACCTCCACCCCCCACCCCTTACCCCTCCCAGGAGAACCTCACCCCTTCATAGCATCCTGCTTTTGCTCAGGCTGTCCCCTCACTTGGAATGTCCCTTCTCTCTTTTACATCTCAAGGCTCGTCACGAACGCCTACCCTTCTAAGAATTACCCCCCTCGAACAAAAAGAGAATCAGGCCTCCCTCCCTCCCTCGGGCTCCCACAACACCTCAGGCCTGGGCTGCCCCTTCGGACTGTGACTTTCTGT